TTGATAACTGTGTCGATTAAAATACCGATAACAATATCCATAAACATATAGAAAAATACAACGATTGTGAAATCGATTAAATCATCGATAAATATAAATTTCATCAGTATCGATTATTGTACACATCGTTAACAATATAAATGACTAAATAGATAACAAAATATATTATCTAATCGATTATTATACCGATACCAATATACATTACTGTATCGATAACAATATCGATTATTTTATCGATAGCAATATCGATTATTATATCGATAAAAATATCGAGTTTTATATCGATAACAATATCGATCTTCATCCTCATCCTTTTCTTCATATTTATCTTTATTTTTGCATATTCCTCTTCACCTTTACCTTAAAGTGTTTAAATTTACTTTGATCTTCATTTTTGCCTCTACCTCTAGGAATCTTTGTTTTTGTTTTTATTCTCCATTTTCGTCTTTATCTTCACTTTTGCCTTCTTTTTTTGACTTCATCGTTATCATTTATTTCTTCATCTTCATATTTATTTTTACTTCAAAGCTTAATATCAAATGTGTAGTGAAACAACAGGCGAAACATGTCAAATTGAACATGTTTCAGCAACATCTATACACAATTCGAAAATGTTTAAACGACGGTTTTGGCCGTAATTTTCAACCAATTGTAAAACCATAAAAACTACGGAAAAATGCCTTTCCAACGGTGTTCTTGGTTTTGAAATCGGTTCGGTAGAATCGCCAAACGAACGGAGACAAAATTTATGTTAGCGTATTAATATATAGATAATTAACTGGTAATTATTTGATTTAAATTACGATATGGGTAAGGTACTTTTATCATACAAGTTGTATGTATGTATTCACAAATCATTTTGAAAAAAAATTTCCTTTATTTTACGTTGGTTAATATGGTCACCGTAAGTATAAGTGACACTTGATTTTTTTTGCTAGTTTAAGTACATGTTGTCCTCAATATAGGGACAGCAAATTCATTAATTTTAGTACTAATTTGAGTCTATAATATACTTACTTTTGAGATATTTTGTCCTTTATTGAAGTAAATTCTTTACTCAGTAAAATAGTTTTGCAGATACATTTATTTCAAGTTTATTTATTAGGAATTATTACAAAACGCTTAAAAATAATATTTAAGTTTAACATACATGTTTTTGCTTAATGTATGTGCCTTTATTGGTGGGTACACCATTTTTTTTAAATGAACTACTTTAAAATTGTTTGTTTCTTCTCCCAACATATATGATAATAAATGTTTTTCATATTTTATTGTAGAAATTTCATGTAGGAGTGTATAGATCTCATCCTCAAACTTAAATACTTTAATTTTGAAAATAATAATATTAGGTTGGAAAAACATATAAACATATGTGATTGAAAAAGAGTGCCATATATCTTACAAATATCAAAACATATGCATTTTTCAATATCCTGTATTGTGTAAAACCTTTCCAAATTTGATAAGTTTTTCGATAAAGAGGCACAAAATTGTTTTTTGCTGAAAGTATATATGGCGTCATCAAAGTTGGAAATAAAGTTTGAAAAATTTTGTGATAATTTATAACCTAAAGATAGTATAATATTTCTACGAGAAAATTTATTTTTTGCATAAGTTTTTAACTGTCAATGCTTGGCTTCAAATAAAAAAGTCCCTACATTTTTCAAAGGTCCCGATTCTTTGATAACTTTGCAATAGTGTAAAAGGAAACTACAACTACAAACTACTATTCAATTTAAAATTTCTGCGGCAATGCTTAGAAAAATTTTTTTCATACATATATATTTATTACAGCTGTTGCGGCTGTCGGAATGGAGAAGATTCCGAGCAGCAGGATCGCTGGATATCGTGCTGGGCAGGCGGTCTGAAAGGGCGAGTCCCATGGCCGCACTGCCTGGGCGGGTGGAAAGGACTAGTTTTCACGCCGCGCCTTCGCTTCTCTAAATTTAAGTAATTACAATCCAGTAGGCTGTGTTCGGTCGGAAAGGACAAGTTTCCGAGCCGCACTGACACTGGGGTTGGGTAGTCGGTCTGAAAGGACGAGTTCCAGAGCCGAAATTGATACATTGCGCATCATTTGATAATATGGGAGAAATCCTTTTTTTTTAGTCTTCTTGCATATCTCGGGCTAAGAAGATCTCTCGCTAGTCGATTTGGATGGTTCATTAACCGTGCTGAGTAACTGGTGCGTATAATGCGTATAGTTTTAAAGTAATTTTATGTTTTTGTACTCTCGCTACCACATGAATATATGAATTCGTCTTAAGAATATATGAATTCGCCTTGGAAGATAGAAAGCGAGTAAGAATAAATGCCGAACAAAGGCATTTGTCTTCTTTAAAATAATAAATAAATGAATTTTGCAAATAAAAGTGCGTACGTTATTTAGTGTCTCGGTTATATTGCTTGGGGGAATCGTAACAAATCGCGGCGAATTCGTAAGGATCTATTCATTGCATTATAAACATTTACATTTATTTGTTAAACATGCAATAGATAATTATGTGACAGTTCACTTCGTTCAGTTACTTCCATTACAACCCGGTCCTAAGGTTGCTAGAAGGGCGAATTCATATAAGGTGTTGTTACCGGAAAATGAATAAATAAATTGGATATCAAAAAATTAATATAATGAAATGAAGTTATTATTTAATTTCAAACCAAACCTGCACTCAAAAAACAGCTTTCCCAAAAATTAGGAAGCCCCATACAAATTTAAAGACAAAGAGGGAACAAAATTGCACTAAAGCGTAACTGTCCTAAAATAAAGGATTTGATTTACTTAATCTGGATTAAAAGAGATCAAGTAAAAATTTATTTAACTTAAGTAAAAATTGTACTTAAAGTAAGGAAATATTTGTCGTTAAATCAAGTATAAGTACGGTGACTCCGTCCTTTATTATAAAGGACAGTCCTTTATTTTAACCCCCTGTCCTTTATAATTTTTTTCAAAATAAAGGACACATTTTATCCTTTATTTCTTAAACTGTCCTTTAAATCGGCTCTGCATTTTTCAGAGGTAAATTTTTAAACGCAGAATATTAAAAAAAAAAATGTCCCTTATAAAATATGAAAACCTTCGCCAGTTTGTTTCGCACCCCACCTTAGGGTTTCTATTTAATCGATAATCTTTGTACAATCTACAAAGCACAGGGAAAGTTGTTCCCAGGATCGTGTTGCACGCTGAGTTTNTTATACCCGAGCGCACTTGTGCACAAGGGTATATTAATTTTGTTCACATAACGGTTGTTTGTAACAGCCAAAACGAATCGAGATAGATATAGACAAATGTATACATAAATGATCAGGATGAAAAAAGAAATCGATTAAGCCATGTCTGTCTGTCCGTCTGTACACGATAACTCGAGCAAAAATTGAGATATCTCAACGAAATTTGGTATGTAGGTGTCCCTTAATCCAAGCTAGGTAGGTATTGAAAATGGGCGAAATCGGACTTTAACCACGCCCACTTCCCATATAACGGTAATTTCCAGAAATACGAAAACTGCGATATTTTAGTAACTACTGAAGATAATTCACTCAAAATTGATATTTACAATAATTTTTAGACGAAAAATAAGAATATTATAAATTTTTGGAAAATGGGCGTAGCCACGCCCACTTATGGTTACATGTGTATATCTTGGTAACCGCTGCACCAATTTCATCCAAACTTGGCACAGTTGTTGGCCTTGGCACAGCATAAAAAATGGACGAAAATTTTTAAAATCGCTCAATAACCACGCCTACTTCCCATATAACGGTAATTTTCAGAAATACGAAAACTGCGATATTTTAGTAACTACTGGAGATTATTCACTCAAAATTGATATTTATAATAAGTTTTAGA